AAAGCAGAGAAAGGTACATTTTTAAAATGAGGCACAGATTGGAAATGTTCAAAACTTCATCCATACAATTGTCCCTATTATTCAAACAGTCTCCCATGCATTATGCAGTGCAGAGTGTTTCAAGGATCTCAGTGTGGCCAATGGGTGCATCTGAGCAACTTTAAGATTGCTTTAGGAGCACTGAATGGGCAATGTTTGAGGAGGACAATATTGATACTTACACCTCAACAGTACTGTTTATATCAAAAGCTGCACTGATGTTGTCACTACCATCAGACAGCAAGCCCTGGATAAATAGAGAAGTGTGTCTTTTATTAAGAGCTAGAAATGCTGCTTTCCATTCTGGTGATGTGCTGCAGTACAGCGAGGCAAGAGCTAAATTGAAAAAGAGCATCAGGGACGCTAAAGTTACGTACAGACGGAGCATTGAACCTCATTCTGAGAGCTTGGACTCTCATCGGGTATGGCAAGGTCTGCAACAAATTATAGGGCAGAGCAACAAAAATAGTTTGTCTAGCAGTAGTGATTCTTTGGCTGAGCAGCTAAACCAATTCTTCAGCCGTTTTGAGGTGGAAACAGAAACAACCATCATTCCAGCATCTAGCACTGATAGTACACCACTAACATCTACCATTGATAGACAACTTCAGATTTCTGATGTGAGATGTGCTTTGCAGAATATTAACACCCAGAAGGCAGCTGGGCCAGATGGAATCATGGGGCGAGTTGTTAGAGACTGTGCTGCAGTTAGCTGGAGTGTTCACGGATATTTTCAATCTATCCCTGTCACAGTGCTCTATCCCTACCTTCCTAAAGACATCCATTATAGTGCCAGTCTCTAAGCAGACAGTAGTGGTATCTCTCAATGATTATAGACCAGTAGCTTTAACATCTGTTGTCATGAAATGTTTTGAGAGACTGGTCTTGAACTACATTAAAGCTTGTCTTCCATCTACCTTGGACGTATGCCAATTTGTATATAAGAGTAACAGATCAAGTGATGATCCTACGAATGTTGTTGTCCATACTATATTGAATCATTTGGAACAACAGGGAACATATGCAAGGCTGTTATTGTGGATTATAGTTCTGCTTTTTAACACCATTCTATCCTACAGGTTGTTTCTTAAAATGTCCAATTTGGGTATAAATCAGAAGATTTGTTTGTGGATAAAGGATTTTCTGACAGATAGACCAGTTAGTAAGGATGGGATCTCACCATTCTTCTACTCTGATACTAAGCACAGGAACCGCCCAGGGTTGTGTGCTAAGCCCCTTCCTTTATCCTTTGTACACACGACTGCACTCCATTATATAACACCAATGCAATTATTAAATTTGTAGATGACAAGACAGTGGTGGGGCTCATTAATTTAATTAATAATATATTACAATTCTGCTGGAGCTATTAAATAGGTTTTTACATAAATTCTGTAACATATTTCACATTCTCTTCTCACTTTTATACACCGACTTTCTAAAAATCCCTTCAAATAAATTTCACTGCAGTAGTATCAATTAGTGCAGGGTTCACCAACCTTTTGGACCTCAGGGACCACCAAACTCATAATTTTAGATCCCAGGGGCCACTAACTGGTTCTATGGGTGTGGCCTAATTTGTGGGTGTGGCTTGGTGGTCATGTGACTGGCTGGGCATGGCTTGTATGTAAATATTATAAATATTTATATAAATATTGGTTTTTTTTAATAAAAAAGCAACTTTTACACAAAATCAGGCAAAGCAGGCAGGCAGATTGAGTTGCTCACAGAATCACAGATTCATTCAGAAATCTATCTATCTGCCATCGGCTAGTAGTCTGTCACATAAAATTTGCTTGCAAGCAAACTTACAAAATTAACTCACAACACATCATGCATGTAAATATTGATTTTTTTATTTAAAAAAGAGCAACTTTTACCCCAAATCAGGCAAAGCAGGCAGATTGAGTTGCTCACAGAATCATTCAGTTATCTATCTGCCACCGGCTAGCTCAGTCTCTCAAATTTGCTTGCCATGAGTCTGCACTGAATTTGCTTGCAAGCAAACCTTCAGTCCTAAGGGAGGTTCGGCTGTACTTACAAGCAGAGCCAAAGATCTAAAGACTAGCTAGAAAGCAAGAAATCCAAACATTTCCTACTTCCTAGTTAATCTAAATCTCCCGGCACAGCAGAATAGCTGATGGTCAGAAAAAGGAAAAATAGAAATTTAGCAGGCAAGTTTACAGATAAGGAGTGGGCGGGGAGGGTTCCCGCAAGCCATGTGGGCAGTGCAGCCTTGTGTTCCTGAGCAGCCTGGATTGCTTCGGGGGGGTGGGGGGGGCTCTGGGGGCGAGATTTCTCTGCGGCCTACCAAAATTTTCTCACAGCCCACTAGTGGGCTGCAGCCCACTCGTTGGTGACCACTGAATTAGTGTATGTTTTAGTGACATCTTCTGGATAAAATTACTGTTAAACAGAACCAGTGGAATTTTTTTCAGTTTCCTCCAACTTTCTTTGGCTCTTATGTAAAAGTCTGGGCATAAATGGACTGAGCTGCTTTTAAAGTTTGACAATGCTAGTACATTTGGATTAGCAAACTAATCTAGTAAGGCTTTAGTCAAAAAATTGAAATTTGTAGTTTGGTAATGTGCATTGCAATCTTTAATAAATTTAATAATTAAATTTGTAGGCCACCTGACTATATTTCATTTTAGATTTCATGTCTATTCATTGACAATATTCTTCTGTGCTATCAGCAAAGATTACATACAACATTTACCCCAATGATACCATATTATTTATAATTAGAAACAACACAATGCCCAGCTTTTGTAACAAAATTTATTTTTGTTCTGCAGTTACAAATTCAAACATCAAACAAACAGATTGAGTGGAAAAATACTAGTATAGTCAACAATGAAAATTTTATCATTTAATAAATAGAACTTTGGCATTCAAAATTCTAGCTGTAAATGCTACTTTTAAAAAAGTTACAAAAAGAGGGTAGGCAAGAATGACAGGCCTAGAGATGAACCAGCCAGTGGCTCTTTAAAAATTAAAATTAAAAACAGCAACAACACTGAATACATTTCGATTTAAGTCATGACAACTCTATGTACATATGAGGTATTCTGAGTGGCTCAAAAACTGAGCCCAACATTGAAGAACTACCAGCATTAGAAAACTGATCCAGTTTAAGTCCACTGTGTTTTGAAGGAGAGGCCTCTTTTCCCTTTTCTTGCTACTGATTAACAATGATATACCTAATATATACAAAAGGATACTCTTGACTGAATTTCTTGTATATTCTTCACCATATACAGAATAGCTGGTAAAAACAGACCAGATTAAGTTTCAAAGGTGACCTACAACTTTTAAAAAATATTTCTATTTACGAAAGGTTTCTCACATATTTACAAGCTAAAAAGTCTCAAAAATCAGAGGAAACAAAGTGCAAATTTTGATACTTTCATAGCTATTAAAACGTTACTTTTAAGCCATGAACAAAAATAAGAGGCACAGAGTTACAAAGAGATAGATATAATACTCTAATGACTGTTGGCTTATTGACTGATTCACCTAATTTTTAACATCCATTGTCTTTTTACAGAATACTATCTTTGCCTTCAATTTTGTTTGAAATCCAAATCTAGAAGAAGTCAAATATCTTTTACGTTTACAGTTATTTTTAAATATACTTAGATTTACATAAGCAATATTGAATAATAAATGTGTGGGTGGGTGGGGTGGGGGGTTTAGGTGAATTTAGCCCCAGTTTAAGTTTTAGGCAGAGTAAAACTGATGCTCACCTCATCTTGCATTGATCTTTTATCCTTTTATTCTCGTTCTGGAATCTAACAAAAATGTTCTCAGAATTTTTTCAAAAGAGGGATGGGAATAAACAACTAAAAAACTATGTAAAATTCACAGAGTAATAAAAAAGTTAAAAATAATTTTGGTTCATTTATATTACTTTTTAAAAAAATATCTATATCCAGGGTGACTGATTATAGAAAACCTACTAAAAATGATCTACTGTGTTCATAACTTACATTCCAAAAACTTAAATATTTAACACCTAACTCTACCTTTATATAATGAGGAAGTATTACTGATTTGGGCATTACTGTCACAGCTAAGTCAGTTTTCCAAATAGGCTCACTGACCGTGCTTTACAAAAAAATAAAATCAAATTAAGTTTATACCACAGTACTAATTTGAATACTGTACATACAAATGACATATAAACAACTGTATTAGGCTTGTATGAAATTAACTTTCTAAATTCCTTTTTTGGGATACATTCCTAAATTATAGTAGTTACTATAGAATGCCATCTACACATCCATAAAAATGCAACCTTGACATATGAAATATGTAAATTTTGCCTTCATCTTTGCTGACAAATCTAACTACATTTTATTTATTAATAATACTTTTTTCAGTTCTTTGGATGATCTCCTGCATCTGGGGGGAAAGGTTGTCATGACTAAATCAACTTAGTAATACCACTGTGAATCACTTTTTCTAAAAAGCTATTGTTAGTTAACCATTTTTATAACATGTGTTGAATGAGGCCACACACATATTCAATGAAAAAACTCATGCAAAACTCAAGCTACTAAATAGCCATTGTAAACTGGTAAGTTCTTCAGATTCCAAGACTGCTAAGTTACTACTAATAAAATAATACTGTGCATTTATGGCTCATTTAATTTTGTCCTTCTGCTTTTCTGTCTTTGGTTAATCTTTGACTGTTTTCATTTCACTAAAACACATGATTAAACTAATTACCAGGACGGAGCCTTTACTGGAGAAACAAATCTCTTTCTATATTCTACATAACCTACATATAAGCAGTTGCAGATGCCTTCTCCCTGTTATTTAGCATCTGAGGATAATCTAGGTCCCTCCTTTTTTAAAGCAGGAACAAATACTTTCAATTGCTTTCCATTTAGTAGTCTCTATGAAATGCTTGAATAGATTTGTGATTCACAGCATACTTTGTTTTTTACTGGCCACTTTGATAGGCCAAGATGTCAGAAATAACAACCTTTTTTTAGTTGTTCCAATGAATGGGTAAGAAGAAAAGAGGGTCGTACTAATAACCCTAATTCCCAACACTCTGTGTTTGCTGGTAGTATAAAGAAGGCCACATAGATGTACAGCCTCAGGCCTTCTCTAAAACACTGGAGATCCTTATCAACACATATCCATTAGGAGTATCCTCTATTCGACCAATGAATTGCAATCACTGAGGGTTGTTGACAATAGAAATGCAACTGAAATGCATGCTACACCTTCGGTTTTTCACTGGATATGAGTGGAAGGATGGGGTGAAGTAGGTCCCCAAAGTGCTGTAGATCAGTGAGTTTATTTTTAATAAACTGATGAGTAAAGTTTTATTTATGTATTTACAAGAATACATATATGCATGTTAAACTGAAATAATTGTTAAACAAATTACCCATTTATTTTCACCGACGTCTTAACTACAAGTGTTTTTTTTAAACTTGGCAACTTTAAGATTTGTGGACAGCATGCTGGGTGGACAATTCTAGGAGTTGAAGTCCAGGTTAAAGTTGCCAAGTTTGAAAAACACTGCTCTACAGCATATTAGAAGACATTTCTTGTAACACAATTCTTATTTCAAGAGCAAAAATATCAACTTTTTAAAAATACGAATTGTAAAATAATTTGTCAAACCTTTTTTTTTAAAAAAAGGTTCATAAACATGCATAGAGTATAATGTTAAACTACATTAGTTAAACAAATATCTGGGCAAGGTTCAAAAGTATCAGGTATCTGGGATAATCTCTCAAAAATTAGTTGTTCCTTGAGTGCTATATGATTGTCTATTTGAAGTAAAAGTGATAAGACCTCATGATGTAATAAAGTAGACAATATGAGGATTGCTAAAGAAGCTAAACAATCCAGCTAACCAGTTAATTAAAATGTTATTTGCAGCCCATGCAAAAAGGAAATTTCTTGACAATTTTGTGTCAAAAATCGACTTCCACAAATTGCTCCTATCTTTATTGTGGAAGATCCTTTCTTAATAATAATATAATGCTGCAATTCCAAATTATTTGCAAGATACAGAGTCAAATAGAATATAAAATAAGAACATTTAGAATCACAAAATGACATTTGTGCTTCTTAATAGCACAGTATAGTAAGAAAGTCAGTCTTGCACCCATTCTTCATTGGTGAGAAAGTGAATCAAGTTCTGATCACCCACCCCTTCATCTGCATAGATATGGATTTAAAGTTACAATTGTAAGTACTGCTCAATTTTATTTCTAGTAATACTCTTGAGGTTGTGATCTTAATATTTTAAATTCAGGCCTCAATCAGCAGGATTGTATCTGCATTCTTTACTAGCTGCTTCCATGTAATATTTACAGGTGTGCATTTAAAACAACTGAGCATCAATTAAGTTCAATATTAAAATAAATTTCCATAGATAGTATAGTCACCAGAGTAGGAATAAGCTCCTATTAAAATAAATATTACTTTAAAAAGGACAATTTTTTCAACTGCATCATTTACAAATAAAATGTAAATTTGAATCACACAAAATGTGAAAATATCAATCTAAAATCAAGGTTTAAAAATTGCTTAAAGAAAAATACTAATGTAAGAAATTGAAAATACTAATCTATTTCTTGCTCTTTAAGCATCAACTTAACTGAAATTATGAGCCTCATGGCATGATCAGCATCACGCATTGTATTTAGTTAGCCTCCTCCTTTTTTCAAAGAAGGTGTTTTTTATAGATTGTAGAATAGATTATCAGAATAAAGTGGTACCAGGCTTGTCTTGACAAATGGCATATAAATTTCAACACAGCAAAATATATAAACCTGGATTACAAAGTGGAATACCATTAATTCAGGCATTTTAACACTGCGCCTATGAAGGTTGGCACTGCTGATTTCATCCCAGCCTTCTTCTGGTAATAAGAGGAACTTAAGCATATTTGCCTGAATAGTCAAGAACTCTGTTCTCACATAAGGTTTTTATGCTAGTTGTGATATAATTTTGAAGCAACTATATTAATTATTCATCAAGATCTGTTGTTTCAGACTGCCAGAAAAAATCAGGTTTCTTTAAGGCTTTTTATTTTTCTGTGTGCTGAAATTCAAACATTCACATTCAGAAGACACTACTGTGCCAAATTTCAAACAAAGAGTAAAATATATATTGTTATGAAGATATCACACTTAGAAGTTGTTTTTTTTAAAATAATCTTTTATCAAAACCATTTTTGCCCAACCTAATTAACACAAAAGAGAACAACAGTTGGTGATTAAATTCTAAGTCTGAATCCCTTCCTTCTCTGAAATGTGAATGTTTTCTCATCTTTTTTCCCTTTGCATTACACAAGAACTGCAGAATAAAATAATAATTAAACTGGGAATGCAACCCTTAAAGAGCATATAATTTTACCAAATGTGGCCCAAACCATCGATATTCCCTGCATTCAAAAGAATCTTTGTTATGACTCTGTATCTTCTTTATCCACAGTTCTAATATTTGACCTTCAAATCACCAAGCATCCCCAACTGCTTTTGTCATGAAGATTCTCCGGATTGATCTTCTCCCTAAAGCTACTATTACAGTGCCCTCTTCTGGCAATTCCATTTTTACTCCAGAAAACATTGCATTTTCTTTTATCAGCTTAACAAAAGAAATAAAAACCATTTTCAAAAGAACATTATTCACAGCTTTGACCTACATTCAGTAGTTTAAAGAAATTAGATTTTTTTTTTGCAGCACAAAATCTCTTCGATAGAAGAACGTATTACCTGCATGAACTATGCATTAAACCTTTTTCACCTGGCACAGCATTTGCTTTCCAGTATTGTTTGTAACAGAAACTTGAGGAGCTAAAACCAGAGCAGCATTTAATAACTTAGTTGTTAGTGTGAGGCCAAGATGTCATCACTGTGTAATGCAATTTTCTCCCATGTCCTGAGCATAGCAGTCTGAAATTATAGTCCTCAGTTCATCAATATCTTTCCGTAATTGACAAACCTCTGAGAGCTTCTTTGAGAGACTTTCTGTGCTATGGTGCTTCTCATCTTCAGAGGAACAGTTCATTGCTGTTAAAGAAGAATCAGGGCTAGAAGTTAAACAAGTCACCAGTTCAAAACATACAATTATAAATGACCTAATAACCTATTTCTGCTGTGCTATAGAAAGAAAATTGAAGATTTCACTTTATTGACAAAATGTGTATTGTTATGATCACTTTAAAATTAGAGATATTATAGAGAAGAAAGTCAGCTTCTTGGCTTTATATTTTCTGCTTAATAAAAACTGAAGGTGGATAAAAGAATGAGTTCTTAAGGTCAAATAGTATTCTCTGGTAGAGGTTGCTTTTATTTTCTGCCAGAATTAGAAGTTAACTTGAGAAAAATTGACAATAATACCCAATTCAGGCAGTCACCAGAACACATAGAGATCCAAGCCAGCAAAAAGAAATGAGATCCTAATAAAGTTTATTTTGGGGGAAATTGGAGTGTTCTACTTATTCAACTGAAATACTAGAACTTCTTGCTCCTTAGGCTTTTTTAAAGGGAATTAAAATGAGAGCATGATACTCTGAGGTAAAACTCTAGCAGTGGCACCACAGTCTGTCTGTTTCAAAGAACCAATTTTCAGCATGACTTCATGCTGAAATGTGTTATTAAAAAAAAAACCCAGATACAAATGGAACGTATTGCATGGCTGGTTGGAGACCACAAAGATCACACAAACTATGCTGTGGAAAAGCTGCAGGAAGCCCAATATTATAAGAAGATTAAATTTAATTCTCAACCCTAACTGAACATTTTTGAATTACAATTATGGAAAATAAGCTTTTCATGTATACTGTGTATCTGTTTTTTGAAGTGTAGGTGACTTGTATTTATTAGTATTTTACCCAAGTGAGAAATGTACATCAATCTGGAGCCTCCTATTCCTCTCTTACTGACATTCCTAGATTTTCCTTTCCCAAGTTTATTCAGTACCAAAAGGAACAGTAGGCATCTCTATCTACATTACTTACATTGGATTCCGAGCAGCAAGGACAGGTTAGGTTCTTTGCCCTGAGCTCTGTGAGTAAGAATACTGCAAAGTGCTTTCAAGTCAAATAGACAGTGAGACATCTGTATGAACAACTGATCTGCCACAGGTAACTTTTCAGCCACCGGTTGTCTGGACTGCTCCATCTGATGAATCTCTTCTCTTAAACTTGCATTTTCTTCCATAATTCTTTGGTTCTTCATTAAAACAAGGTGAAAATAATAGTACAAAAATTATTTCATTCACTTGGCTTATTTCAGAAAAAAAACTAATTGAACATAGGCTTATGAAAACGAGTTTGCTTATATTTTATTTTGAAAAAAAAAATGCATTCAGGGGCATGAATCAGATGCTTGGCATCTGATAAAGAAAACTGTGAAGAAATGGAAGGCCAGAGTGGGGGACATCAAATGTTGACATGTTTTGATAGAACAAATATCCACACTGTTAAATATTATGCAATATTATTTTGTTTGTTTGTTTCAAATAGCAAGTCAATCTGTCACCACTAGCTATTGGTCCATCAGAGACCTTCCCAATTGTAGCAAGATGTTTATCAGTGTATCTGGTTCCTGTTCAGTACTTATGATTTAAAAAAAAAACTCTCATGCTTAATTGCAAGTTGGAAAATTATTTCACAGTTCACTCACAATATATGAAAAAGAAGGCAGGTAAATTTGATTCAGAGGATAATCTGAGAAACTTACCTCAAGAACTACCTCCTTTAACTGCTGTAGAGTCTTATCCTTTTCTTCAAGTTCATTTTTTTGTTTCTGAATTGTCAGATTTCCTTCCAAAAGCTTTTCTTGCATAGACTAGGGGGAAAATGGAAAAATTAACTTTACTAACATTGCCTGAATATATCAATAATTCAAACCTTTCAGCACCATGTTTTCCTTGTTGATTGGTGATTGATAGTGAAAGTACTCAGAGTTCCAATGTACTGGCATAAATGAAAAAACCGCTTATGATTCTCTCTTCCCTGAAACAATCTACTGCAGGAATGGGGACTATTCAGGTTTAGCCTTTGCTCAGCAATGAATTTTACCATCAACAAGGAGGATGACAATATCTCTTCTTAAGTTCTCCTTCTTGAAGGAGAAACAAACAAAACTCAGCAGCTGTGCCATGATGCTTCAGAGTTTCTCCGCTAACTAACATGGCAGTTCTTTTGTGTCTACCGATGTTTTCTTTTGCCCACCAAAATCTATTATTTTATTTGATTACATTATAGCTATGAAAATATTCTGCGAAAAAGAACACAAGTAATATAAAGGATTACTTTTTGAATTTGCTATTGCCAAGTAATTATGAGTCAGTGTAATGAAATGGTTGATCTGATGGGGAAGACTTAAGGTACTGGGCAAATCAGAAAACTGATCTCGGTGATTTTGATTTCATCCTTTGTCTAACCTTCAATGTAAAAAAAGTAAAAATAAAAGTATCCAACAATCCAGTATTTCAATGCCTGACTTGAGCTGCAGGCTATGTTTTGCTGAAGTCCTTCTGAAGAGCATTTTCAGAATGTTTTAAAAGCAAATTTAGGGCCATTATAAAACCTATCTTAATCCCAGGGAAGCTGTTACTAAATGATGGACTGAGCTACATCCATAACATCTGACTTGCTGATCAGGGGAAAATAAATACTTTTTTTCAAAATTTGAAGAAACAAGAATCAGTATCTCTGCAGTTATCTCAAGATTACCAGGTCCCCTAATATAGGCATTTTAATCTATTACTTTCAGGTTATAAAGGACTGGAGGGAGAAGAGAGACATTCCTTGGACAACAGTTGGATGATTATACTATAAGAATAAATTAAGAAAGTATTTCTCCACTGGATCAGTGTATGTTATATGCTTGTCAGTTCTGGTGAATGAAAAGGCACTTCTTAGTCTGATCTTGACAGGAGGAGATTTAGAGGAATTCAGCATTAAGCTTGCCAAAGCATCCCCCTCCCCTTATTGGGAAAGACAAGAGTGTTTAGAGAAGATATTTATCCCCTGGTGCTTCAAAGGCTGTTAGTTAACAAAACTGTCAATTCCATTGATTTCATGTTTAGTTATCATTTGTCTGCTCTCTAGTTTCTGAGGGGGAAAACTACTGCTTGCTTGACCACTCATTGCTTAGGATAGGAAAATATATCAGCTGATAGATCAAAAGGACCACTTTACTCTGCTGAACTGTTTCACATATCAAAAAAGTTCTGAATCCAGGAATGCAATGATATAACAGTTGATTTTCTCTAGGCAACAAGACATGGAGCCTATGAGAATAAGCATATAGCTTCTATAGCCTCTGGAATATGATTCCAAATCACCAGAAAGAAAAGAAATAAAGATACCATATCTTGACCAACTTTAAGCTTCTATTCCCCCAGTCTTTATTTTGAATAAAGGGCAATAAGTAAAGATAATATTAAAAACAGACTGTATTTTATTCAAAATAAATATAAAGCAGTAGTGGAATTCTTTCACTAATGTTGGAGTTAGCAGAACTACAATCTCCTATGGTCTCTGGCAAAAAATCAAAATAAAAAATCCATTGGAACATTCATCAGTTACCTCCTCTTAAAAGCTATGTGAACATGTTGGTGTTGTTGTCTCATAATTCTTTGTTGTGATGGAAATAATTATTCTGGTGCTTTCTTTGGTTAGCAGCTTGATTGTTCAACATGCTAACTTTACCTTCATGCTCAACAGCAATATTTTGTATGAACAATTACTAGTTCTCAGCAGAACCCTCATTTTCAATGTGGAAAAGGTAAAAATGCAGGAAGAAGATGACCATATAAGGTCAGAAAGGTCACTGGAAAATTAATTTGGGGGCAGGGGAGAGAGCTCAATGCTTACTTCTGCATTGTAGAAAACAGCAAGCAGATCAGAGCCATGCATAAAACAACTGTACATAGACAAATTTGTTCACCACAAATAATAAATTCTGGACTGAATAACTTATTTTATTTATTTACATATAAGTTTGCCCAACTCAATACTGGGAACTGTACAGGTTAAACAAAGAGATAATGTTTCAAAACATGTGCTTATGTTTAAGATTCTGTTACCTCTTACAACAATAAAGCAGCATAGCTGGAATCTTTTGGAATCTGGTACCTTTTTCTAACCTGGCCTACCTGAATCTTATAAGGTTTTCCAAACTTTCATTTATCACACCTTATCCTAAAGAACCTCAAAAAAAGGTTACATTTCCTCCACTCATATAACATGTTATAGATGTTATAACTGCTTGTCCATGTCCATCTTTAGGAGCTCTTGAATAACTTCATCTCTAAATTCTTTTATAGAAACTGACATAGTTGTAACTGAAATAGACACTGCATCTCAGATGGCCAGACCTATCGCAGAGCTTCAGGACAAAAATCAGGTTTTCAGACATCATTTAAAGACTTGCAGGTTAAGGACAGTCCAATCCTTTGCTATTCCAGGCACCATAACAGAGAAGGTATACTTCCTATGTCCTATCAAATGATATTGTTTAATATATGAGACTCAAAGTATGCCAACTGGTTAGAATAGATTGGACAGTCATTACAAGAGCCTGAATGTCTCTCAGATCAACATCCCCGATATCATGAAGGGCTTTGTAAGTGATAACCAGCACCCTCAAGTTGCACCCTCAAGTTCACTAGAAGTCACTTTGACTCATATAACAAGAGTTGTTACATAGGCATACTCATAACTGCTCCTGTTGTTATATTCTGACCAGCTTTAGCTTCTGAATGTTTCAGAGGCAGTCCCATATAAAGTGCACTGAATAATCAACACGAGTGACCTTGAGAAGGGACTCCCAGTCCTGAAAAGAGTACAATTGTTTTTCAGCAGCAATTCTGGGTAAAGGAGGATTCACGAATTGTGCACCAGTTTTGTTAAGGGAACTAGTGTGCATTCAGAGCCAAATGTGGAGAATTACCAGCAGTGGAAGAATCAGTACCCTTATGTAGTCAGTCTTGTCACTTTAAGCCTGATCCTATGCATCCAGACCTGGAACCTTTCCAATCATTGGGACAAGACCTTAACGGCATCACTTGGTTGACCAGAGGTCAAAATATATAGTGTGTACCATCAACATACTGATGACACCTGATGCCATGTTGACGGATGACCTCAGCTAGTAATTCCATGTAGATGTTAATACAGCAGAGGCAAGAACACAGAGGAGCTTTGGACTGGACCTCTACCCACCTGTCAGCAGTTGGAACTGGCCATGGAGAAACAAGATTTATCCATTTTATTTATCAACTGTAGATACATAGAACTGTAGATAAGAAGGTCTAGCTGTACTATGAATGAAGGCTAAATTCCTTTCTACCTGTCATTTTGCCTTAATGCAAATTTACAACAGCCTTGTCAAACAGAGCTGACCCTTTCCCCTGTATGTTTAGTGCATTATTATCATCTCTGAAGAATATGATTACTGGATTTGGGGGAAAGATGCTCATCTGTTCAGACTGTATGTCTGACAAAGGATAAAATTGCAAAATATAATGACTGGGAATTTAAAACAGAATTCTACTGCGCTGAAACTGAAAATTGCTGATCAACGAACTCTGTTCCAAACATTCTATTTTTTTAACAATAACCAGTATGAATTCATATAAACATAATCATTAAGTAGAATTTTTTAATGTTTTGTCTTCCCTTAGTAAAGACTTGATAAAGCCTCACACTACTGAATTCTTCGGGACAGAAGCCCGAATGCCAGGTCTATAGCTATTTCATATCAAAGATCTTTTCTGGCTTTGAAAGCATCACATTTTTGGCATCCATCCTTGTTCCTCTCCCCTTTACTATGTATGAATTGCTTATCATTCCCTCACAGCTGAAGAACAAATAGCCTGGATTGCACAAGGATTGTCAAGCACAGCCAACATTTTCCCCCATCCCTGCATAGTGCCCTGCAACATGGCAGAGTTTGAACTGGTGGGAATCTCAACAGTCCAACTTGCAACACTCCTCAAAAAGAAAAATGAAATATATCTGCCTCCTATAAAATGTGACTTCCTTCCTTTCTTTTTTATTTAAAAGTTCTGATGGTTCGCATTCAAAAAAGATCAATTCTCACAAACCCCTTTTGCCAGATAAAACCAGTTTAGAGTTATTTTCCTGTTTGTAAATATACCCAAAGATGTCTGCTAAAGTAATTTTTTTAAAAAAACTACTTGGTTTTCTTTTCTTGTTTCTTTTTAAAGAACAAATTAACATATATTTTTGTACAAGGCAAGCTAAAGGCATGAAAATGCAGAGAAAACTGTGGGGAAACTAATGTGGAAATACCAGCAAAGATATACTGATAGGGCAGTGATGGCTAAACTTTCCAAAAGTGCATGCGCATGCCTGCACCGATAATGCAATGCGTGTGCGACCCCCCTGCACATGCGTGCAACCCCCGCACACCCTCTATGCATGCGTACACAACCCCCTGCTCGCCATGTACCTTTGTGCATGCATGTTCCTCCCGTGTGTGCCCCAACCCCCGCGCATGCGCAGCAGATACCTGACAATCAGCTGGCTGGTGGAGGTACACACGCATGTGCAGTAGCTCTGTTCTGGGCGACGGCTCGGGTGCCGGCAGAAATGGCTCTGCATGCCATTTCCAGCACGTGTGCCATAGGTTCGCCATCACAGTGTTAGGGTATCAGTTATAACTGTATTTCTTTTGCCATTATGTGGAAGGTTTTTACTACTGAAAATGAACAGAGTAAAACTGGAAACTATCTTTCCGCCCTCTTCCAGCAAAAACTCTATCCCCAGCGCCATAAGGCATTCTGGGCAAGTCAGCTAAGTCATAAATCAGCAGTCAGCTGCATACCAACATTAGTCAATAAATTCCAGCCTCACTTCACTGACACAACAAAAGTCCTGCTGATGGGGGAAATAACTGGTCTGTTAGGATAAGGTTTCCCTTTTCTATTCAAGCTGGCCAGGTTATAGCATTTATTCCTTTGTATGATTTATTTTTAGACTTTCAGTTCTAGATATTTCAAAGCAGCTTATGAATAAATAGAAAGCTAAATGACTGAAGCAATATGAACGATTAAATATTAGAAACTAAAGTAATGCTAGCATATGAAGTGCATTCACAGCTTCCTTTTATGATCAAAATGATTTCTTCTGATGCAGACGGAAAACATGAAACTGTGAAAAATCACATTGCTTTACCTGTATCTCTAAAGATAACTCGGTGATCCGATTTTGTTGATTGTCTATGACCTGTTGAGAAAAGAAGGTAATAATATTCTTATTTATGTTTCTGGTTTCCTTTATCTTTTTGAAGGACATGCACTTCTAAAAGATATTGCAACATCAGGTTTAAAATTAACAACACAGAGAGATTGATGGGGAGCTTAGAAGTGCTAATATTCTGAAGGGCATTTACAGGAGGATGGGATGAAAGTGATACTAGCCTTTAAAAAGGGACAGAGGGGAGTTCCAATAATATATGCAAACTGGAAAATTGGTAGAAATGACAACCAGGAAAGAACTAAAGAATGTTGCTGAATAAAATCAGCATGGATTTCACGAGCATGGATTTTCCAACCATCTGGAGCTTTTGAGAATACTAATAGTCATGTTGGTTACTTTGGACCTTTAAGAAATCTACAAAATTCCTCTTCAACAGCTTGTCAGGAAACTTTCCCAGTGGTCATGTGAGAAAAAGGACCTATCCATTATGAACTGCTAACCAGTTTAAAGCCAGAAGGCAAAGAGTAGGACTCCGTGGGCAATTTTATTCATGGACGGAATGCTGGATGAAGATGGGGCCTGGCTTGATCCCAGTGAGATATTCTTAAGTTCTTAGGAAACTAACTATATCTATAAATATTTAGATAGTAATGTTGAAATAAAATATCTTCCATTCAATATTACATAAATACATAAATGCTAACAGCAGCAAGTGGAGGTTTACATTGATTTGCCTCCACTCTCAATCTCTGTCTCTCTATCTGGGCATACAGTAATGCTGAGTCCAAGCACTTACTGGTACTACTTTTCTTGTTAATGGTAACAGAGAGGAAAAACTAATGTGATATGGGACAAAACTGAATCCACTTGACATTTAGACAACCATTTAATGTACTGACCTTATTAGCCTTCTCATTTTTTTCTTTGAGGCTTTCATTTTCACTCTGAAGCTGTTTTGCATCCAACATAGGAAGACGGACACCATCTTCCAGGCATTTTTCTACTTTCTGTTGCAAGCTGTAGTTTATATTTTAGTAAGCAAAACAAACAAGCAGACAAGTAAGGGTAAAAGTTTCCATTCAAGGGCAAGAAAACTTACATGAATAACTTACAGTTTCCCATATCGGTTAAATATTATATGCCCCCCAAAAGCCTTGTCCGTGTAATACCCCTATGACATACAAATGTTCCAGAGCAGGTAAGCACCTAACTTTTACTTATTATCATGTTTCAAAGATAAAAATATTATCACTATGAAAATCGTGCTTTAAAATAGAAACAAGACACTACTTCAAATATGTATGGACTTTCAGGAGAACACAAAGCCAGCATGGTGGATTATACTCTCACAAACGCAAGAGGTACCAAATGTAAGATGGAAACAATGCACTCAGAGATTTGGCTAACTATCCTTAAATATCTAACCTTTCATCATCTGAACAAGCTATTTGTTGCTCTTATCTTTTAGGAACATAGGGTCATGAACTCAAGTGGCCTATACTTTAGGATATTCAAAATAAAATACTAAGTTAACTTTTTGTTACCATCTGCACTAGAGAATTATAATTTTTTTTAAGTTCTGTAACATTATAAAACAAGGGATTCTAATTGCCTTATTTTAAGATCCACTTGCAACTGTTTCCAGATGACATTGAAATGATACCACCAAACCTGGCAGTTCACAAAAGCTCTTCTAGCTTTTAAACATGTCACATATTGTTAGTTTCGTTGCAAGAAGTTAACATTCCTAAGCTTTTGGATCCTATGAGTTTCTTTCAGGAAACAGCAGCACAAACATACAACTTTCCAGGCTGACTTTATCATCTGTACAGATTATGTACAGAAGGGAAATTAGAAGAAATTTTTGATGGGTTAAGTGGCATTTTTCAGAATCTTCCTAATATTTTCAGCTAATTTTTAAGATGTTAGGCAGAGATAAATACTTTCATGATGCCAAGAGCCAAAATGTCCCTCCAACATCATCAGCACACCTGGTAAAAGAAATGGGGAGAACTTCATAGAGGAGAGACATATCCCATGAAGCACTTGCCCAACAAGGAAAAAAAATCTTCATTTTTTACAATTTTTTCTAGGAGGCTTATCAATTTTAGTTTTTCTTTTCTCACTATAGGAAAAAATGGCCCCACTTCACGGCACACTTTTTTTTCTTGTCCAGAGAAGCATGTTCCTTTTTTTTTTTTTTTTTGCACAAAGAGAAGGTGAATCTTTATGCCAAAATAAAGAACTGCTCTGCTTCATTTAAAATAGGGAATAATCTTCGAGTTGTCTCTATTGAGAAAAGCAGCCCTTATTTCCTATAGAAGAAGTCTGGGAACAGACTTCTCCTTCCTGGGTTTGATCCTTTCATCTATGGGTGAAAGTTTACCATTTTCTGTAGGATAGATCTTTTTATGATTGCTACGTGTGAACACTGAAGTTTTGCCAGCTATACTAAGCTGGAAAATTAGCAACAGATAGCCACGCCTCCTGTCATTGATGGAGGATGTATTATAAAACATTAAAAGGATACTAGGTTGGAAAAGCAGCTTTAAACCATAAGCCAATCACGAGTAATAATTTAACTAATGAATTATATAATTCATTTAAGAGAGCTTTTCCATCCCTTTCTCCCTAAAAGCACAATGATTCGTATGCACCGAGCACCTTTTGCAAATGTGGCTTCCCTGCCTTCTGTGTGACATAGCAAAACAATTCCTACTAAAGCAAAGTTTATTTCTGTCAACTGCACTAGAACTGAGTCAGCATGCCACTAGATGGAAATCAAAGAAGGTGATCAACTATATTACCCATACCTTTGCACTGCAACTATCAATTCTTTTTCTTTCTTCTTCTGGCACACAAGCTGTAATTCTTTTTCTTTACATTGCGTCTTAGATTCCTCCAATTCCTTTTCTAGCTTAAACATAGTAGCTTTCAGCTGCTTATATTTTTCTTCAAGACCCAGTAGCTGTAAAACAGGAAGTTTTTACTATGCAGAGCTATGCTTGTCACAACAGACAGTTTGGTGTAGTGCTTAAGGACGCCAAGACAAAAATCAAAGAGACTGTGAGTTCTAATCCTGCCTTAGACATGTCCTGGTCATTTGAGGACTGTAGCTCTCATTCAGCGTGAGGAAGAAGCCAACAGCCAACCACTTCCCCAAAAAGGTTGCCAAAAAAATCTTCAGAGGGACTTGGAAGGAGAGAAAGAGATGTGGGGGAGGGGGGAGGTTTTCCCATAGACTTGCAAGAATAGAATCTTGGCACCATTCAAAAGAGAAATGCAAAGCAAAAGAGTTTAAAGAGTAGTAGTAAAGGAGCATTGTCATATACTGATTTTTAACGTTGTCTAGAAATCAACATTTTTTAGAAATAACAATGAAGGGATAATGCAGAACTGATGAAGCTTCATGGATGAGAAGCAAAATGTCTTAAAGAAAAATTAGAAAGTCCAGTTGCCTTTTTTTTAAAAAAAAAGCACCTTTGGGATGAGGCATAACGTACACAATTTCCAGTATTTTAGAATCTTTTTGAAGTTTCTAAAATTCAACACAATTCTGTTTCATTTCTTCTTTTGTGAGGCATTTATAGATACAAAAGATCCAACCAAAAGTTAACCTGGGCTCCGTACTATAATTAAATAGCAAAAATAAAATGTTTCAAGTTTGCTGTTTTTTCTAATATAATCATCCTTAAGGCAATTGTATCTATATTCAATCTAAAAGATTGTTCCATTTTTAAGGATAAGAGGAAGTCTCATTTTTAACAATTTTATAATGTTAATTTGTAATGTAAAAAAATAATTCATGTTTTGCGTTACGCTGACAGATTTTTTTGGGGGGGCGGTTCTGGAAAATTAATTCTGCAATTATGATAACCTCACACCTGTTAATTTTCTTACGTTTAAGAGTCCAAGATGTTAAAGATAATTTATGTAATGCAACAACTGATTATAAAATTGAAGATTATATAGTTTTTCATAATTACTTTTTCCTTAAACATACATGCATGTGCATATGTGCACACATACACATTTCTCCACACACATACACACAAACTGATGTACCTATTAATTTAAAATCTTATGGGTTAAACAAAAAATTTAGGCAAACTATTTTTATTTGTACATTAAGATTTGCTCTTCTCTTTCTTCCTTCTGCAGACATTCTCAATAATTTCTGGAAAGCAGAACCCGGAGGTTGCAGGAGAGACTAGGAACGAAGGCTCCTATAGTGAGCTATTGCACTGGTATAGGACCACTGTTGGATTTATGTCTGTGTATTCAATAATTCTGAACACAACTGATTGTTAAAGGGATTTCTGTTAAAAGTGTAGAAACTGTATAGAGTATACTGTGGGCAAGTGGGAAGCACTAAAATGTATCATTCCTCAAAACCTCTGAATGGTGTGCTTTTAAAGCAAAACAATACATCAATTACCTCTTTACTTTGCTTCTCAACATCATCCAGGGTTGGCAAATCAGCTAGGTATTTTTCAAGTGTTTCAATTCGTCTCTGTTTCTCTTTATTTTGTTCCAGTTCTTTCTGGCATTTCTTTTTTAAGCTACTTATGTACCTGTCTCGGGTTTTGAGCTAGAAAAAAAGGTAAGATTAGATGTTATCTAATGTGAAGTAAGAAACCATTAAAAAAATAATAGGTTGGTTTATTTTTCAAGCTCGATTACTACTTTTTTCAACATTATCTATTTATATATAACTAAAAATGTAATCTTTAACTAGTTAAAACGGTGCATCATAGGACAATATATTTTAAACCAAGATTGTTCAAATGGGCTATCTTACAGAATGTGTACAAAATTTGGAGGCTAGGACTCCCATGGAATTGAAATTTGGCAAATTTATATATTGTAAAACATTTTATGACATAAACATTATCATAAAACAGTTTATGACATAATACTTAATGTCACAAAAGATTTCATGTGCTGATATTTGACTATGCTATACAGTGCGATGTGGGCTCTTTTCAAGGCAAATACATTTCTGAATCTACCCCAACTTTTCCTATAAAGGCAGTGTATTATAAGTTCTGTCACTGTTGAAGGGATTGAAGAATCTGGCAAGGAAATAACTCTGAAATGATAAATCCAATGAGTCAAGGACTGTTTAGTATTTTAATAAAACTATCAGTGAAAAGATAAACGATGCAATATAATGTTGATTTTTTTCAAAGACTGAATACTTTTGCTTAGTGTATTATTTTTATAATTAAACATTTCTACAAGATTTACCTACATGTCTATTTGAACTATGTCTTGTATTATTAATACCAGCACACTAGAGACCAGTTAAATTCTGCTTCCTGAGATTATCTGTCTTAGCGGGGGGAAAAAAACACTTCAAAGTAGCATAATTTTTATTCCTGCTGGTACACTATGTCTAAAATGTAAAAAATATGCATAAAATAACTGTTAATGCTTAATGTTTTCCTGAATGTTGTATTCAAGTACAAAGATAAAAGATACTTTTATTTAGTATCTATTACTACCCATTATATACCTTGTTTTTATTATTTGTTAAGTTCACTAATCACATTAAAATGAACAATTATATACTACTTGTATTAGTTTTGATAATCATAAAAACTATTAGAGATTAAAGTTAAAAAAGCATTAAAGGAGCAAAGATAAACTAAAAACTGAATACCCAAATGTCACGCTAACAGGAGTGATCGGCAAGCCAGTGGGAAAACATGATGGGTTTTATCAAAGGCCATTTTACAATTTTATTTATGTATTCAATTTGTGGATCTCTTACATCACCAATGTGACTGTGGCTCACAACAGTATCAAAAGTGAAGCAAAACTTTTTTTTTACTTTATATGCTTTTGTTGGTGTATTTTTATCTACTGTATATTGAAAAAAAATCATACATATTAAACAGTTTTGTGTTTTAATGTTTTATTGATAGCTTTGTATGTTTCTATACTTGTACTTGTTTCAGGATATATTGTATATATTCACATAAAGCTATCAATAAAACATTAGAATACAACATTGTTTAATACTAAAGACTATAGGTTGAAAACTTTGATTCATAAGATTAGACAATACTATTTTTCAGATTTTTGCCTTCTCTTTTAAGTATTTCTTTCTCTTGTGGCTATAATCTGAAACAAAACAAAATCTGAGGGTAACTTTAATAAAGAACAAAAAAAAACAATAGTGAAACTGAATTAACTATGCACACTAGGGCAGGGATCCTCAACCATCCAGGCCGTTTTAAGGCACCAGACTGTGGTGTGCCAGAATTCGGGCTATAGATATCAGTAAAGCCCCATCTGCACATGCATGGAATGGAGGCAGCACACAAAACCACACCCCCTCCAGTCCAAAGAAAAGCCTCTCTCCATGGAACTGGTTCCTGCTGGACAAAAGGTTGGGGGTTGCTGCACTAGGGTATAACATGAAGTATAAATTTTATCCTACAAGAGAATGAATTGGATGTAGTTATTTCAACCTAACTCTTACTTAAAACTTGTCCTTATCAACTTGTCCAGATGATTTCAATGAAACTAATATTCAATTATCTTTATCTGAAAATATAGGGCATTATAAAGCAATCAAGAAGAAATGTTAATTATACGAATGTCAATTATACGAAATGGAAAAACATCCTAGTGAATGATCTAAAGATCCAATAAATGGCACAGCTGCACCGGGTCCCCGGGAGCTGTGCCAATGATCTGAGATCACTATTCCGACTTTGCTGCTGACTAAACTGCTTTCAGAGACACCAGCTCAATTGTCATCGAAAGAAGCTGAGTCAAAGCTGGGGAGACTCCCACAGGCTGTTCCTTTTATACAAGACAGACTCAGCTTGATGATGTCATCAGGAGGAGTTTAACCCATCCTGGCTCTCTCAGCAGCATTGAGGAGAACAAATGATTCAATAAAATCAATATGAGGCTCACCTTCTCTTCCATTTTCTTTTTATCTTCATTAGATTTGTTTACTATTTCTTTCAAAAACTCACTGAGTTGTACCTCCTTATTTTGTACTGATGCAAGCTTAACTTGCTCCCTTTCACATTGGGTCAAAGATCTCTCTGCAAATTGAGCCGGCATTGATGGTTTCTCATACTGAGGCTGGTTTAAGAAAAGAACAAGAAAAAGATTAGAAAATCTTATTAACTACCACACAGCTGAAGGAAGATTCCCTTACTGGAATTTTTGACCCAGATGCCTGCTGGCAACATAGGGATGGTTGCGAGGTGCCAGAAGTTGACAGATGAACCTTCTTTCTTCCTAAATTGGACTTTCGAGATACACTGGGGTGGGGAGAAGGGATACTGTTTTCCTTGCAGCCCATAGCTTCCTTTGTGCCACTTTACTCAGCAAAGTGACAGACAGTTCTGCAGGTCAGCCAAGGAGGAATGAACGGGTGATTTCTAACCCTCCCTGCCTGTTTTTCATGAGCAAAATCAATGAAAAGCCAAACAGGAATTTGGAAATTGTTTCTGTTTTTTTGCCTGTCTGTGATCTGTTTCTTTGTTTAGGTAAGGAAATATCTATGAAGGGATGACCGAATGAATCATAGGCTTTTTAGTGAACAAAAGCATATCACAGAGAAAGATAAGAGAAAAATCACCTATATGATCAAAAGTCTGTATTCTAAAGTCATACTCCTACTCAAACCTCTAATGACACAAATATATAACTATTTTATTTTATGTTTAAATGTTGAAGCACTTAAATGTAATATGTGCCAATTTGAAATTAGTATAAGGAAATAATTATATAATGTACTGATTCAAACAATATTCAAATGCAAAAGTGCTCCTTTACACTATGTATCCAATTCCTTTCATACTTCAAAATGTGAAAAGTGGGGTGTTTCATTATAATGTTAATATAAACTTGTCCTTAGGGATGTTGAATTATTCAGGATTTTCATTGGACTAATAATAAAAAATATAGATCCTCATCTTACCTGGAAACTATTCATGTATGACTCTTCACAATTTACAATGTGCCCTAATCTTGCTTGTTGAGCTCGTAGTTCATTCTCTCTTATTTTCTGATACAGAAGGTTAATTTGCTGGTTTTGCCTGGAAATTATAAGAAAGGAAAAAGTCAAGTCACTTGAGTCTTATTTTCAACTTCAATTTTCATCCTCTCATCCATTTGAGATGGAATTAGCATTTTATTATCTCAAACGTAATTTTGGAATTTGTATTGACTGTCTGAATTAATATTAATGATGTGATCAGCATTTTATTCTTGTCCCTGTGATTTTTGTTGAGCATATAAAACACTCGTGCCTATGAAAACCTTCTGATTCATTTAACTGGATTCACAGCTCTGGATTGTTCTTTTATTGATCTGAATGGGGAAAGGTCCCTTATACCAATGGGGTTCTTAATGGCAAATGCAGAATATAAGTTATCTCAGAACAGAAAATGTTTCTCCAACATATATCAATGAATAATATATATGCATTTTCCATCTCCAGAAATCTGCAAGCGGTACGTAAAATTTAATTTTTATATATTTTAGTTGTGCTATAACAATATATTATCACTGCACATACATATTTGGATTCATGAGTACATTCCAATTTCCATGAATTTTCATACCAAGATAACCTTCTGATTATTACATACTGTAGCCTGAAATTCATCTGACTTAATGTAAACCCTTGAAATGCAATTGAAAGAACTCAGTTCTTATATCTCTACAGCTTGTATAGTTGGGAATTCCTTTTTCAGTTGCTGCTTCCACCAGGAAAATCTTGGCTTCTTATTTTCCTCTCCTCATATTACATAATTTATGTCTCCCACCCCAAGCTAACTATTTTTCTCAAACTGTTTCTTTTTGGCAGTGTACATCTACTGGATACATCTCAACTATAGACATTCAGAAAGCTACTAGATGGCAAGCAAGAGATTAAAAAAAATACAACCCTAATTCTTTATTGCCACCAAGTGATCATTAGATTAAAGAATTGACCTATTGATTTTTAATTTTTTTCTTTAAGATCAATCAGTCTTTGATACAATGTGAAAGGGAAAAAAGATATTGCATGGAGTAGCCAAATTGTTCTGCATAACTGGAGAAAGCTTTATGTATGCTAAAAAGTGTCCTCCAAGGAATATTCCCAGGGTTCCTGGAGCTGGAATTTTAGCAAAGAAAGCAACACAATTACCACCTTAGAATGTTGTGCATTCAAGCTGTGTGGACAGCAGACCAGCACAGACCTAATCCAAGTTACAGAACATTGTGGCGGCAGCAAGATTTAGGGTGGCACGATCTCCTGTTGGCTGTGGGCAAAAGCAGCTGAATGTCTTACTAGGGATGACTTGTTATACTCAAGCCTAATTTTAAAAAAGCATGGATCAATGTTAATATTTTCTTTAATTTTAAAGCAATTAGGTAGGACAACTTTAATTTTCATGATTTTGAACCTTGAAAAGAGAATGTAAAAGATGGCTATTCAAAAAGCATAGCAAAACAAACTCGACAGGAATATTTTCAATTCTGCACATAATCCTCTAAGTCTCTGGAGTTGTCTGACAATAAAAGTCTCATGACTTGTGCATTTCATTGTTGATAATGTTATATGGTGGCTATAATCCTTTGGTACCTCAACAGCTGTTACTAGTAATCCACTATGTAACTCCATGTTGATAAGGCTTTACTAAAAGAAAAAAATTGCAGCATGCACTTCACACTATGATCCCAGAAATCTATTCAGCATGTGACAACTGAAATAATATGCCAACTGTGTTAGTCTAGAAATAATACTAGCATCTTTTAGATTGTTAAATTTAACTTGTTAAATGTTCTCAATGTTCTACTATGGAAAAATCCAAATTCACATATCAAAATGAAATGGTTTTCTCTCACAATCAATCATAGGTTCTTTTTTTAAGTTAGTTTACTTTAGTTAAGCTGTTTAAAATCCTTTTTAAAAATCAACTGGTTCCATTATTTCCTTCCATGATACTTCTAATTTCTCCCTTGCTGAAAGCCCCTATTCATTTGGTCACATTTTGCAAAGTAAGTTGTACCTATTGCACAGTAAAATATCAATCATTTTGATATTTGATAAGTTGTACTTATCAGAGAGTAAAATATCAATCACAAACATTTGTTCTCAGTGATAAAGCAAGCTGCACCTACATATCAGACTCCTGTAAACGTTGATTACTTGTGATTCATTGATTAATTAGGCAGCCTACCTATCTTCTTTCTTGGATAGAAACAGAAGCAATAATTCTGTAACTATCAAAGAGAAGTAGAGAGATCCAAACAATTGGTATCCTTTCCACTGAATCCAATAAGAAGAAATTAACATGGATAGTTGCAGAGGTGGTGATTGCATGCCATTCCAGGAGGATATGTCTGGGGAATGCTATCCTAGAATCTGAAGATCCTTCCTTACAAAGCATCCAGAATCATATAACCATAAAGTTGGAATTGGGCATTTAAACTAGTGAGTCCACCTGCCATCTTGGGGCAAGAATTCAAATTAAAGCATCCATGACAGATGGTTATCCAGCTTCTGCTTGAACGTATTTGGTGAACAAAGATCCCGCTAGTTCCACTGCCAAATTGTTCTGCATACCAGGAAGCCTTTTCTGACAATCAATGAGAATTTACTTTCCTGCAACTTCCATCTATTATTTCATGTCCTGCTCTATGGAGGAATGGAGAACATGTCTTGCTCTTCAGTCTGACATACTTCAGATATTTAAAGAATTTTATTGTATCCCCAGTCTTTTCTTCTTGTGATTAAGCATTCATCTTTCCTTTAATCTCTCTTCTTTTTAGTCCTTTGATTATTCCAAATTCTTTTCCCTGAATGTTCCAGGTTATCTGAATCCTCTTAATATGAGATAACAGTGCTGGACACAATACTGGAGATGAAGTCTGCAATGCACAGTAATTAGTAAACCTATTATTTCCTGTGGTTTCCTGTCAAAATGATGTATACAATCCACCTTCTTTTAACTTCTCAGAGAAGAGATACACAGGTATTATGTTATGTCATACCCCCTTGTATAATTTTTTTCATGACTTCAATGTGAATTTTATTTATTTATTTAGGAAAATTTATATGGCTGCCCAACCTACTCAGATTACAAAGATAAAAAAACCCAATATGAAAATCACAATAAAAAGCAATAACCCTCCCCACAGCCCCTGGCAACAATTATCAAATAAGCCATTAGATGAGCTCCATTCCATTCCCAGGCCTGTTGGCAAAACCAAGTTTTCAGGGTCTTGCAAAAGAATGTCAAGGTGGGGGCCAATCTTATCTCAAGTATGATGCTGTGCAGGGAAGGAGCCACTAGGGAGAAGGCCCTTCTTCTTGGTCCCACTAGATGGACCTCCTTAGAAGGGGACTCATAGAATTCCCTGCCTCTCCACTCTGGTGAGTTGGGGAGAATGATATAAAGCTATTGCTCTGTATCTAGTAATCTAAAATGTGAAGGTCTGCTAGTTCAGTACTGGTAGAGGGTCTATAATAAACTATATAAAAAACATCTAGCTATTCATGTTTTAAAAGTCCCATTAAGGATAAAACTGGTTATCGGTTACCTCTTATTAGTCAATATTCCTGTCATATGGAAGCTATATCTCAGTTTATGAATTCCAAAACTGCATTGGCAACCCCATCATATTACTGATTCATATTAAATCTGCAATGAAATACTATTCATAATCTTTTTCCTCATCCTGGAATGCCCCATACACAATAATCCACTGTATTCCCCAAGAACACATCTCATAACAGTGCTACTACTTTCCTAAAGACAAGAAGACTGTTTCTTAATTCATGGATTTTATTGTTATGTAAGTCTGTTTATTCATTGCATTTCTATCCCATCAATCAGGATACAAACTCTTGGCAATTTTGTTATGCAAAGTGTAGAATTTATTCCATTAAAGATCTACTTTTGTACGTTACAGATGTGTCTCCTAATATATATCTTACACCGACACATTGTTTTATTATCAAGGCAGCCACTATTGGAAATAAATGTATTAGGCCTGTATAGACAACTGTCAATTTGTCAACATTGATCTCTTATCAAATATTGAGCATATTTCTTGATTGAACTTTTATGATTGGTTACTCTTCTCACATCTTTTCTCTAAATCTCTCTTGTTGTTGTGAATAAAGCCAAACATCATTTTTTAAAGATTAGTGAACAAATCTTGTAATATCAATCTATAGCAACATTAAATAAAAATCAGAGTAACATGCTGTTTCCCCATCACACAATTAGGCTAATGTAGCAGTGGTGATGTGCAAAGTTCTGTTTACAGCAACAGGCATTCTCATAAACAGAAGTGAGCTAATGTACCTATGGCTACTTGGAATACAGATATGATTGTGCTACATGAAGTTGAATAGCTATCCATGCACACACACATAGAAAATATACTGATGGCTGTTCAGCTGATATTGCATTCTATGATTCATTACAGGTTGTTCTTCTTTATCACTTCCATTTTTTCCCTTTCAACAAAACTGTATCTTATTGGAGATGTATAAATCTTCCCTTGAGAAGACAGGAAAATATCTCATGCTGACAGTTATTTTCTTTGTACAACTAATTATTCCACTGTTACATTGGAACACAGAGGCCAGTTTGTTCTCCCTTTTTTCTTCCTGTTAATTAATGCTGATTCAATTTAATTTCTTTCTAATGGGTTTAATAAAATCTGAAATTGGTTATTTCAAAAAACGGTCCCAAGATTCTTCTTTCTTTTCTCCTCTACATATACAGTATTTTAAACATACTGCATATAATTTATTTGGCAGGCGGTGGCAGTTAAACAGGTGCTAATAGGCAATAGGTATTTAGTTATACATTTAATCTTCACATGTATAATGTTTACTTATAGATGCAGATTGAAATTGTATTGATTCTGTCTCTCTTTCAACAGATGTAACTTAAATATGGACAAACTTGAAATATTGGAGGGGCTCATCATGTGTGTTCAATAGGATAAAACAATATGGTATTTATTGTATACAGAGAGAGAGAGAGAGAGAGAAAATAACTTTTTAAACTAGAGAGAAACCATTCTAATTCCTCCATCTTTGCTTTTTTTTGGGGGGGGGGGGGCGGGGGAGTCCTGATTTTGATATAAACCAAAGTTTTTAGAATTTGTTCAATTGTTATACAGTATGAAATAATTTCCCTCTATACCGTGGAGCCAGAGAACTAAACAGTTAATTCAGGTTCAATAATACTTTCAGCTACTAAATTTGGTTCTTTTTCTTTAAAAGTTCAGTAACCAACTCGGTTATTTTGAAGTTAATTTTAATTGTATTCAGGTGTATTTTATATAATTTTGTTTGCTGTTATTACTATGGTATAACACGGGTAAATAAATACCAGCTACATGTTTAAATGAGAAAGGTTTCTTGGTAAGATTTCAGAAGTGATTTGCCATTGCTTGCTTCCTAGAGCTGACTCAGAATGACTGGACCAATATCACCCAATTGGCTTTATGCCTCACAATCTCCTGGTTTCTATCCTGGTGCCTTAATTACTACATCAAACTGTATCTCTTATTGCCTTTGCTTTAGTGAAATTCTTGTCATATTTGACCAAGCATAAGAATAGAAAATATTTATTTTAATTTATTCTGGATATTAATTCTTGCCTTCTCAAATGAAAAGCAGCATGTATATATTTCATTGATATAAATCTCTGGTGAAGCCAGATTTAGAGCACTGGAAGAAGTCCAACTATGTGTGAGTGAATATCCACTCATTCAATGGAACTTTCCCTTGCTCTCTTTCAATTTGATGCCAATTCTCTGGTACGTAACTGAGAAGTCACGGGGTCTTCAACAAGGCGAGAGGATATGTTATGCTATGAGATATTATACCATTCTTGCACACCTTTGCTACCAATGATGCCTAGTTTTATTACTTGGCTCTGAAAAGCATATTCCAAAACTCAAAACAAGATAATGTTATGCCATCCCACAAATGTCTTCAGAATTATTTTTATTCTGTTAAAAAAGGATTACTTCTAAGTAAGCGTGCCTAAGTTTTCAGCAATAAAAAAACAAAGGGTTGAAGCACTGTTTCTACAAGCCTGGTAGAGGTTTATAAAATAAATAGCTCTATAGCACTAATACAGAGCATTCCCTCTCCATTATAGCATTAGTTCTTGGCATTAGAGCTTGGAATTAGAACTGAAGCTCATTAACAATAACATTCCTTCCAAAAGGGCATTGCTTGGTAGAATCCTAAGAAATTACATTAGCTGCTTGTTAGATGGCTTTTAGAAAGAAAAAAGTGGGACCCTGTAATCCATGTTGGAATGCATCCCCAATGTATCTTAGGCAGTAAAAAAAAAAAGAGCAATCCTATAAAAGGGAAAGAACAGCACAACTGTGCAAAATTGAACGTAAGTTTCTGAATATTTAAAAGTAAATCCAAGCTACAGAGGTGGTATTCAGCAGGTTCTGACCAGTTCTGGAGAACCTGAAGTGGAAATTTTGAGTAGTTCAGAGAACCGGCAAATACCACCTCTGACTGGCCCTGCTCCCATCTATTCTCTGCCTCCCAAGTCCCAGCTGATCGTCTGGGTCTTCTTTTGTTGTCCTGCACAGGAGAATGGAGCTGAAAAGCACGTTAGTAGGGCGGGGAGGGAATGGGATTTTGCAGTAAACTTCCTCCAGGAGTGGGGTGGGAATGGAGATTTTACAGTATCCTTCCCCTGCCACGCCCACAGAACCGGTAGTAAAAAAATTTGAATCCCACCACTGTCCAAGCAGCATGCAGTTCAATAGAGTATGAAGCAACTGGACATATGAATGTGGATCTGCTAGGAGGAATTCCATGGTAGAATTTAATCATATTAAATTTAAGACCAATTCTTTGATATGGCTCAATTATGCATCAAGCAGTATCAGTATGACTTTGTTCTGCCACTGATCAAGTCAAAGCAAAGACAACTCTACAAGGAGCTGAAACCATGCATTTAACCAACAGACTCACAATGTTAACCATATTTCTATTAATTATGATCAATTATCATCATATTTCTATTACGATGATCAGCAACTGCTTCAGAATTATTCTATAATAAGGAATGATACTTACTCCTCCAAATCTTAACCTTTGAGTTTACCTTTCCTAAAAAAGCCTTTTGAACACCACTCTGTCGTTTAACTGAGAACACAGCAAATGCTATTATTTTCAGGGGCTTATGTCATGGGTCTCGCATTTGGAATTTATTTACATTACCATTCTAGGCAATCCTTGCCAATAAACAGTGCCAGTATTAGCACCAACACTTCAGTAGAAATGTGCAGTATGTCATGGCCAATCAAGGTCAAAACAAAGAAGTAGTTGCATAGTGTAGGTTATCTTCAAGAGAGCTAAGTCAAGGCACAAATGTAATACTATGCAAAACTATGTAAGAACATACTACACCCTCTAGTGTTAAAATGTAGTGTTTAATAATTGCTAAATAATGAAAATAATGAGGCAATGCAAAAAAATAAAGCAAAACTAAATCATATGGCAGTTAGACAAAAGGGCATATTCTCGTGCCTTCACACCTTCATCTAATGGTGTATTATAAACAACAATTTCAATTAAACTGTCAACATTTCATAATGAATTCTCTTCAAAGAGTCAGGAACCTTTTTTATCTTTCAATCAATCCACATAACCAGAAGTAATGCTGAGAATGAGAATGTATATTTCCTTATGGACAACCAAGTGATTATCTTGTTGGATCAAGGAAATGTCAATCACAACACTTTTAAAAACATATTTAATCATATGCATTTGCTTTTCGTTTGTGCTTTTTTCATGCAGGTATGAAGGGTTGAAAAGCAACAAATACCTAGGTACATCAAAAGGAAGACTGCTAGTCCCATAAAAATGTGAAGTAAGAAAAGACTAAACAGGGCCCCATTATTGAATATATATGGATATAGGCAACCATACTGCATCAAATGCTGTACATAAACCTTCAGAAAAGAACACTTTGCCAAATGCTTAGTGGTTTAAGCTGAAACGGAACAATTCCATAGTGTTAGGAATAACAAGGTTACCTAACGTAGTTTGGGTAAAATAATATATAAATTATGATAGTAAGTTTAAGTGTGTGTCACTTTAAACTGCAAAGCATGTAATTTTGGGTGCGGTGTGAAACCGCCATAAGAGGGAGCAAGAGAACCTAACGATTGCTGACGATTCCTGACGATTGCTACTTTGATGGATTGATGGTTTGTTAACTGCGTGTTTCCCTATTGCTGAATGCTGAAGGAAGAAAGGAGGTGTGACTTCTTCATATCTCTACTGCGAGGAGATATATTCCTGGACTGATATTTGTAAGTTTACTGACCTCTTTTTCAACACTGGACTTTGCAACTGAATAATCCCCAGACGGACTGAACTAGTGAATGATATATGGACTGTTTGACTATGCTATAACTCTTACTGGAATAAACTATTTAACTAGCACAGTGTATCTGTTTTTACTGAGTGTAAGCTACAAAAACGTTTATCTCACATATTTTGCCTGCCTGCCTGACTGCCATGCAGATTCTGCTAGGGTGTATCCCTAACACATAGTACTATTCAATTTTAATTGCTTCTTGTTTAATGATACTACTTTTTGTATATCTGAAGTTTAATACAGAGCTTTGTTATGCTTTGACAAACAAAGGTCACCAGAAATCAAATATTCAGCATTATACATTTATTTATTATTATTTTTTGCCACCCATCTTTCTTATAAGGCTTACAAAGTATAAAAACAAATAGAAATATAATTAAAATATATTAAAATATTACAACTATAGAAATTAAAAACTTAAAAGTATACAAAATTGTGCATATGTTATATACACAAGATAATAAACAACTATCATGATATTGCTATATAAATGTACAGTTATACACCACAAACTCAGAATATATTTCTGTCACCTAAAACAGACCCAGAGCCCATTACTCAAAGATGACAAAAATAAGGGACTGCCTTGGTTTGAAAGGCAAATATGAAGTAAATTGAGGCTCTAATATATATACTTACCTATCAATCACAATTTCTTTTTGCCTTAACAGCCCTTCTTTAATTTTCATCAGGGACTCCCAATTATTATAGTCCTGAAAGTTTGTAGCTGGATAACTTTGATGATACGATCCACCCAGAACCTGCACAAAAATATGCATAAAATAACATTAACAAATCAGAAAGTGAGAAAAGTCTACCTTCCTATCATATTTATACATTTATAACATTTTCAAGGTGCTTAGACATTGATAAATAGCCAATATACTTCATGAATATATTTGGAAACTATAAAATCCATGTTCTTTCTTTAAGATATACCTGAAATGTAATTGTTTCACATTTTATAGAAACTTTAATCTACAATATTTCTGTCTAATGTTTTCTTGTTTTCATTTTGATTGAAGTGAGAGATAACTGAAGCATTAACACTTTTTTTTTTCATTTTCATCAGCATGGGATCATTGGTTACTGTATGCTTTGGAGACATGGATATCTCTCATTGAGAAACTGTACCACTGACAGTTTGTGCAGCACTTCAATGATGCTTGTACATAATACAACTATATAAATGAAAAATGTATTCTTTTTCTTTACAATGACCTATGAAAGTCAGCTCTATGTAGGGCTCATGAGGGGTTTCAAAAATTAGTCAGATTTCAAAGAAAGCTAAGCACAGTTGGATTGTTTAGTGCATACAAGGCAGACTGCCAATAAAATCCCAGGATTGTAGGCTACACAGGAAGTTGAAAAATTTCCAAATGCAGGCAGTGGTAAACCAACTTTGTACTGTTGCCAAAAGCATACAGAGATATGTCTGCGTAACCACTAGTTAAGCTTGACCAGAGGAAGTTTTTTCCTACTGAGCAGGAGGATTAGATCTGATGATTAAATGCCACTTCCTACTCTACAATTTTCTTCTGAATATCAGCATGACATTTTAAAAGAAATGTATTTTCACCTCAGTAAAAATGTATGAGAGTCTGTTTGGTGTAGTGGTTAAAGCTGTTAAGCTAGAAGCTGGGAGAAGGAGAGTCTATTCCTCAGAGGTGGTATTCAGAAGGTTCTGACCAGTTCTGGAGAACCAGTAGCAGAAATTTTGAGTAGTTCGGTGAATCAACAAATCCCACCTCTGACTGGAGATTTTACAGTATCCTTTCCCTGCCATGCCCACCAAGCCACTCCGACAGAACCGTAGTAAAAAAATTTGAATCCCACCACTGCTATTCCTGCCTTAGGCATAAAGCCAGCTGCATGACTTTGGGCCAATCCCTCTCTTTCTCAGCCCTAGAAGAAGACAATAGCATACCATTTCCACAAAATGTTGCTAAAAAAACTGCAAGAAAAAAAAAAGACAAGTAGTCCTCAACTTACAACTGGTCACTTAGTGACCATTCAAAGTTACAACAGACCCTGAAAAAGGGACTTATGACCTAGTTTTGAAGTTCTGATGTCCAGCCCACCTCCCAGAGGTCATGAGACAATATTTTGGACTCTTGGCAACTCGTCAGCATTTACAGTCATTTACAGTGTTTTGTGGTCATATGACTGTGATTAAGGATGCTTTTGCTGAGGCCCTATTATGGTTGTAACTCAACTCACACTGTACTGTTCTGCAACCAGAAGAATGTTTTCTAGATCATCTCTACTCCTATAGTACTGGTTCCTATCTTACAGCTCCCTATGAGTTTTGTTTTGTTACAGAATGTAAGGCGTATGCAGGATATATGTTATGTATACTTTTTCTTAAATTTTATGGAAACCAGAGCTGAGAAATTTAAGAAACTATATTTTTATTAAAATAACAGTATAAGCTAATTTTTTTGTTTAATTGTCATTTATTTCTAAATGGTTAATCTCAACTGTTTTTTCTACTTAAATCCAACTTTAAAATAATGTATTGATGAAAGAAATGCTGATTCAATCAGGTGAATCTAGGCAGCTTACAGTACACTGTTTTACCAGCGCTATTAAAAGTAACTTGATTGACCTTCAATTCTTCAGAACAGATGAACTTTTGATTCTATAGGATACATAGTATTGTGCAAGTTCTGAATCAGAAAAAAAAATCCTGCATGATTAAGAGACAGATTATGTGATATTTCTAAATATTAAAGGTAGAATCCTAAAAGAGTCAATAGGTCAATTTAACTAATCAGTAGATTACTAACTTGGAGCAATCCAAAAGATGAGGAACAAACTATTTAAAAACTACAGCTGAATTGCTGGACCTTGTATTTGGGAAAGATTCTTTAAATACAAAACGTAGAAATCTTTATGTGCAAATAGTCTATAGATTTTTGCTCCGAAATTATACTAATGGGCTCTGCATATATGTAATTTACAATATTTCAGATAGTACCCAAGCTTACTACTATATAATATGACAGAAGATCTGATCAACGCAGATGACAACCTAAGAGAAATGCAGAAACTTTATATTCTGAATTCAGTGTGTCAAATCAAATCCCATAACAATCCTCAGCTTCTGAGTAACAATTTAGTGCAGACTCATTTAGCAATTTTACATCCAGGTAAGAAATATTTCATGGAGCTTAAATGAGTTACTTTACTTGCTTTTTCTCTCTGGTTACTATATTAATATTTAACATGAGGAAAAAAAATTATGTTTCATTTGTAACGTTCTAATTCATCTCTTCTTCTTTTGCAACACTTTTACAATCAACACAGTTCATTGAGAGAAATACTTGTAGAGTTTAAATACTCATGGACCAGATACAACATTTTAAGACAGAAAATATCTAATACATTAACAAGTCAGTCACACATTTTCAGAAAGTTTCAACTTATATTCTGGCCAATGTTATGGACAACACTTTTAGGTGGCACTTCAGATGACGTTCAGAGCAAGTGTGTCTGGAATTTTCCAGAGATAACAGAAGGTCACTCCTAAGTATAGAAACACTTGTTTTAATAAGTGTTTATATTATCTTCTCATTACAATGAATTTCACAAAAGATCATTATACTCCATCATCACCTTTGAAGTTCCTAGAAGCTTATTAATTTTTAAATGCCTATCAATTTTTAAATTCTGGAATAAAAAGTATAATAACATTATTCTTGAGCCCCAATTTATTACTATATGACTGACTGAAACCATACATTTAATAAGTTAAAACAATGCCAAATATTTTGGCTGAATAACTGATAAAATAAGATTTTTTTATATATAACTGTGGCTAATATTCATCAGCACCTTAATCGCTTGTCAAACTGGCTCTATGTAACTAACTATGAAATGATGTACCCTACGCTACTGAAAAATCAATACGTTTTCCAAAGATGTATGAAAAGTTTCAGCAAATGGGTTTACTAAAGATGAAGACTGCTTCCATAATTTCAAAGAGACAGCACATGAAAAAAGAATCTTCCAATTTCAATTAACAATCTATCTGGAATAGCCAGGAAAACTTAACTGAATACTAAAGACAAGTGAAATATAGATTCTATCTTATGAAGCTTTTCACAAAGGAAAGAAGTTACCTTGTCCTATTTACCATCTAAAAAAGTAGCCAACTTCTGACAGGATCTATACTTGCTGAAAGTGCAGTTAGTCCATTAAGAAAATTGAAAATGTACATACACACACACAAAAATGATAATCAGTGGAATTTGATTCCATGAATTAAAAATTCATGGAAAAATAATTGTGAATATAAGAAAATACAGTATATGTTTAGTTCCAAGAACTTTTAAGAGCAGATAAGGACATACTATCCATACATCTTCTAAAACTAATCGACTGTACTGCTATTCTCCCATGTGCTTTTATTTCTAAACATGAATGTGTTGGAAGTTTTGGCTTTAATATATGAAGGTTTTCCTATAAATAGGCAATGTATATTTTAGAGCAAAAAAGAGATAAGAATTTTAGTAAACAAGGTAAAGTGAAAAAAGTAAGCTATCAAATAATACATATTAATTATGTTAATTAACATTCATTTCTCAATATGCTGTCTTATTGCAAAATGTGCATCCATAATAGAAAGAGAATACAATATTGATTTTACAGAGCATTTTCAGTACAAGTCATACTCATGGGATTGTTGAGATAGAAAAAAAAATTTGAGCAAAGACAGGACCATAAATTGAACAAATGAATTTGTGCATTACTAAATTAATGCACAAAACCACTTGTCGATAAACAAATTCAACTGTGCAGAATGCCACGTATTAAGTAAATCATTGTTTCAAGGGAAAAGACTTAGATCTCCCATAAAATTCTCTGAAACCAGCTGAATTGTGCCATGAGCATATAATAAGTTTATGACTTATGTGCACAGGGCTGCTATTAACCAATGGGGCGGGCATTTCACAGTGTTGCAGCTCAGGGATGACGATGATTTACATTTATTATGGCCATCCACTCCAAAACTCCTAAATTTGGGTGGATTATATCAAAATATGTAATTGAAACAATTAAAAACACAACAACAAAATATTGTAGCCCAAAGAAACAGCTATTACAGTCAAAAACATGTCAGGGTCTCTACAAATAGACTAACCCTAAGTCTGGGAACTGAACCAGTTCTTAAGGGACTTTCCAGAACCGTAAGAGAGTGGCACCATCCATAAATCTACAGGAATGTTATTTTACAGGAAATGGATGCAACACAGAAGGCACTCTTCCTTGATCCCATGAAAAGACATTTGAATGAAGGGACCTTGAGGGTATCCAATCTGCCCAGCCATATATAGCAAATGGGTAGAAAATAGTGCAGACAGATGGTTCCATAAATAACCAGGGTGTATGTCATGAAGGGTTTTATAGGTGATCATCATTTCTAGGTGGTAAAGTCCTTAGAGATACTGAATCCTATATTCTCTTTGACACCAGCCACACTACATGTTCCTTGCCATCACTCGGTATAATAACATCTCTCTATGAGGATGTTAGTTCCTCTTCCTCTCGGTATTTCTTTGCCATATGCAGTACCCAAAATTCTGCCATGAACTTATGTTTTAAATTTTCTCTGGATACAAGTTAAGAAAATCTAATGGTAAACTCTAGACAATGTACACTAATTAATCAGAATGTATGATGCTGAGAATGAACATCTAAGATTTGAAAGTGATTATTCTTAATTGTTTCTGTAAAGTCTGGTAATTTGTTTAAAGCT